CTACCGAGGTGGGTAAAATGAGGACCCGGATTGTTGTTGGGGGCAATATGCTCTGTAAACCGCTTAGAGAGGGCTGAAAGCCCTCTGAAGCGGTATATAAGTCTAACTGCTATTGCTATTGCTATTGAGACATCCCTGATTTTAGTTTTGGGGTATAAATTCTAGATTTTTGGTTGTTGTTGTTGTTACTGAATCGTCCTTCTTTTTAATCTTCATCCCGACCAGCTGCTGGGAAAGATCACGAGAAGGATGTGGCTTTGCCCTCTTCTGCAATTATTAGCCTTCCCACAGATCACACTGACATCCTTAAGATCAGCCAGAGAGATTTGTGGTGCAATTTTGGTGAACGATATAAAACTCCACTCCAACCTCCACTTGGCGATAAATTATGGAACGGCTGCAGGGGCACCTGGAACAGCCACGGGGTATACAGGTAGTCCTTGATATACAACACTTCATTAGTGACTGTTCGAAGTTACAACAGCGTTGGAAAAAAGAGATGTATGTGTTGTGGCCTGCCGGCCTCCAGCCCATCCACCAGCCAAATCAGAGGAGGAGGAGGAGGCATGGAAGTCAGCATCAAAGCAACCTGAGAGATCCGTGGTGGAAGAGGGAGTAGAGCTGGCAGGGAGAGAGTGGGGGGAAGAGCCTGGGCCATCCTTCAGCCCTCAGATGGAGAGTCAACCGCCCCCAGGTCTGGAGGTGGCTGATGAGGAAGAGGAGGAACACTTGAGTCCAGTGCCTGATGCGCAGATGCGCAGAAGGCAGAGGAGAGCAGTGGAAATCTATGGGCCAGTCCTTGGGACGGAAGAGCCACTGCTGCTAGCGAAGCCCCACCCTAGCTCTGGGGACTCCATTTCGGTTATAAGACGAGGACTATTTGCAAAGATTCCCAAAGAGACGAGGGACATCCATACTGCAAAGTTATAGGTGCCTTTAAAAGCGTGTTGACTGTCACAAACCAGGTTGTGTTGCTTTGGAAAATTTACACAACCTGTTTGACCGGAGCCGAATAAATACAAAACAGCAACTTTCATGAATTAAACAGCACGGCCTCAACTTGAAAGTGACTAAATAAAATTATACATATGATGATATATATACTGTATATCATTCCCCGTCAGAGCTCAAATGCCCTTTTAAGAAAGCTGCAGATAATAAGAAGGTTGGTAAACAAGAAGGATGTTGGACCAAGGCTTACATCAGGAGTTCTTATGCCTAAAGATAAAAGTAAAGGTTCCCCTTGCACATATGTGCTAGTTATTCCTGACTCTAGGGGGCGGTGCTCATCTACTCTCCCTCTCCTCTCTCCTTTTCCCACTCCTTCTCTCTCTCCTACTCTTTTCTTCCCTTCTACCTCCCTCTCGCCTACCTCCTCTCTCTCTCTTTCCCTCCCTCTTTCGACTTGGGAGAATCCCAGTTGAAGGTCTCCAAATGGCATTTCCACCTGTCATCTCTTGGTACCTTCTGATTATAGGACAATCCTGCTAACATCTCATCTCGTCTCCGAGTCAACCCTTCCTTCTGGGGCTTGGTCTGCCCATTAGTCTTTAACAACCCTGGAAGGAAACTGTACACACAAACACACACACCATCTCTACATGCTTGGAATTAAGAATAACATCTGAAGAACCAACAGCAACTCAACTGCAGCATTTCTGACCGGTGATTTTATTCCTAAAGCTTTTGAAAAAAAACAAATGTCCTTTTTGGAATCGTACAAAAAAAAAAAATACAAAACACCAGCCTGTGTTTCATTCCTCTTTCAGACATGACCCCGTAGCACGTCTTTCGACATCCCATCCTCTCATTTTTTTTCCCTCCCCGCCCCACACTCTTTCCTTCTGATTCTCGCGGCCTTTCCTCACGGCCCGGCTTCGAATCCGATGGGCAAAGGTGCCCCAAAGGGAAAGTGAGAGATATTGCCAGCCAAAGGAGAAAATCAGGAGGTAGCGACAGGAATCCCAGCAAAACCAGAACTCCGAATGAAAAACACACACACACAGACACCCTTTTAAAGGAATGGAAAGAGTCAGAAAATCCCACCGTATTCCATAGGTCCCCCCATCCCCTCCAGAGGAGCAGAGAAGATGCTAGAAGTCAAAGCAAGCTTGTAAAAACCCAAGAGGTGGACCAAGGCTTAAAACTAGATTTACCTTCGGCAACTCCACCCCCCCCCCGCAATAAAGTATAGGCCACTTTGGTTTTCAATACCTACCTGTGACATTCACTTCCACCTGCCCGGATCGGGTGCCGATGGTGTTGGTGGCTTCGCAGATATACGTTGCCGATAGGCTGTATGAGACCGGTCCTTTAAAGAACAGAGTGCTGTTTTGAATTTCGGCGCTGTCCGGCAACGAGGCATTCAGCCTGTGGAAAAGAAGAACACAGAACCCTTGGTCCATTAGCAGAGAGCTTTCCTCATCCTCTTTTAATGATACCCCCCCCTCCAAAATCCCTCGTGGGGTGCAGGAATCTGGGCAACAGAATGGAGCTGAGGTTGGGGGGGGGGCAGTCCTGGAGTCTGGGGAAGGCTCTGATGAGGGCTTTGTGTCGGAGGCAGAGAGGGGGCCAAGGCCGTATGCCAGTTATCAGCTGCCTTCGGAGTCAGACATCAGTGGGGCAGAGGAACAGCTGGAGCCTGTTCCCAGTGTGCGCATGCGCAGAGCTGCCAGACGAAGGGAAGAGCTAAAGAACAGGGGTCGACTTGGGAGTAAGGCTACAGGTGGATGGTGAATGGCCCCTCCCAGAGGAAATAAAAGAGGAGCGAAAAAGGAGTGGGCTTTTGCAGGAAACAATTCGTTCATTAGATTCGTTTCAGGAGTGTGAAGATCTGTCCGTGAATCTCAGAGACTCTGTGCCCAAGTCTTTCCTTGCGCAACACCTCATTTGGAAAATATTTCCATGGCAGCTTTCCAAGATAGATAAGTTCTGTGGCCAGAAATACTCCTTTGAAAGACTCTTTGCCAGGCCTTTGCTGAAGGTGAATGAGAGGAATTCACATTGGTTTAATAAAAGGGGTTTTGTCGGGAATCTGCTTCGTGGTTTTGGGTGA